GACAAGGCAGTCCTTGATTTTATGGTTCCACGAAGAAAGGTATTCATCTTGTCATGAGTCCTTCATCTGCACCAAGGCTAACGCAGATACCGCCAGAGTATTTGCTTTTCATTTCTGACTCCCTTTGCAATGAACAATCCTCTGCTGTCGTGGCGTGCTATAGCCCCGCTGCATTCAGCAAAGTTACGCCATTTTATAGCAGATGACGTCATTCACTTAATCCTGTGATTTCACTAGCTGTAAAATGGGAATAATAACATTTACTTTATAAAGTGCATTGCAATCCTTGCACGGAGAAGAGCTGTATAAAGGCAAAATATGGTTAATACTATTTTCATACAAACACAGGAGTTTCCTGTAAATGCTTGGCTTTCAGTGGGAATACATTTATCTGGCAGCCTTTCAATGTACAAAGGAAAGTGCAGTAGCCTGAAGACAAGAACGAAGACAACCCAACCTCTTCTGTTTCTTGGACTTTTTTTTTTTTTCCTTTTTTTCATGTAATTCTCCATTGCTGGAAAAAATAGGTGCCAGAGCCCTGAAGAGTCTTTCATGTCACAGATTTTCTGATAACGTTGCTGTTGTTCTGTGAAAGCTAGGGTTGTTTAAAGGTTTTAAAATAAATTTTTATATCTCAAAAGTCAGAAAATTAAAGCACATTGAACCAGTGTGCTTTAACTGATCTCATACTCTGAGAACATAGCTTTTGCGGCAGCTTGCAAGTAAGAATGTCAGCTTCAAGCGCTTAAAACCAAGCATGGTGATTACTGCCATAACCGGGCTCATTAACTTCAGCAGAATTACTTGTGATAATATATACTCCTAGCCCACAGGAAGATTTTGCCACGTATAGCACTGAATTTAGCATGTAATAAGGAAATATAGTTTGGCTGGTGGAACTTTAAGGGAAAGGTTATACTTTTTTGCTTGTAAGTATCTCATTTTGCTATTCACACCACTGGTCTTTGATCAAATTAACATTTTACTTTAAGTACAAGAGCACTCAGTTCATGCTATTCATTATCTTGTCAGGAAACAATAAGAATAATTTAAACTGGATATACTGTGTAAGGCTTTTTTTTTTTTTTTAATTGGGAAGCACACGGCAGCATTACGATCATGACCTACTGGCTTCACTGTGAACAGTACAATATTTACATTCTGTATTAAGGAGAATGAAAGTATTTTGAAATCTTTTGTTACCAGGGAGGTGGCTCTATGCTGGAAAAACAGCGGTATGGAAATGAGGAGGAATTGTATGAGCTATCGAGAAAAATAGCATTTTTAGACAGTGCTGGATTTGCACGATCTCTACCAAGGCCAGTAGTGTGACTGTCACTGGTCATCGTGATTTTTCTGTGCTGTGCGTTGTAAATTTGGAAGTGAGAAACCAAGAGTTTGAGCACTGACTGATGACAAGCAACTGTACTATGGCGTACATATTTCTTAGCCAAAGTGGAGTAGTTTCACACAAAGAGAAGGTTGCGTGAACTTTCCAGTGGCTCCAAGTTGTGCAAGATTGCTAGGTTTTAGCCATTTTCCATACTGGGCGTCTGTCTCTGGCTGCACTCTCTTTTCTTATGTCAGGAAAAATTGTTCAACCATTTCTAAGAACAAGATTAGGAAAAAAAATCCAGTTTTCCCCACATGTTACGAGTTGTTCTCGCTGCTCTGGTGAGGAGCCTGCTGTGCCCATACTTAAGAGAAGGGGCTTGGCACTTGATGAGGGAGGGTTTGCCTTTTTCTCAGGGTTGTATCTTCTGTTGCTTCAAGTAGCAAAAGGAAAAAAAAAAGCCCCAAGTTTGGCCAGCCTATAAGCGCCTGAAAAAAACCCGAGTTCACACAAACTCAACAGAATCTGGTTTGAATTTGTCAGCTTTGATGTCCGTGCCTGTCCCAAGCACGCTACGGTCTATCACTGCGCCGGCTGGGTGAACGTTAACCAGCCAGGTTTTTCTTCTCTGGGTTGTAACGTAAGGTTCAGTGCCACTTTGACGGGGAGCACTGGGAGGGGAGACGCTCCCCCAGGCTGCCCCTGCCGCGACGGGGAGACGGGCAACGCCGGCGTGAGAGCACGGAGAGCGACGAGCGGAGAGGGGCTTCGTGGTGGGGAGGGAGGGAGGAGAAGGACCGGGACGGGGCTGCTGCGAGGACCTTTGGAGAAGAAGCAACAAGGAAGAGGAAGGGAGGAAATCGTGGGGGTAAGACTTAATTCTAGAAGTTTGTGCGATGTACGAGCTTGCTTTTGCCTACCTGAAGCTAAAGGCACCGTGAAGCTCAGAGAAGACCAAAACGGTGCTTCCAGTGGCCAAAATGAGTTGGAAAGGGGACAAAGTGGCAAACAGAGAGGGGTAGGAGTCAGGGGGACAAAACCTGAGGCTTTTGCAGGGCAGCGGCACCGCAGCCGCTGTGCGGGGTCTCAGGTGCAGGCGAGCGGGTGAGAAACGGCCAAGCGCAGCCCGTGCCGCGCGGCGGGGTTGTGGTTGACACCACCGTGCGCGGCGCCCGAATGGAAATACGCGGGGGGCTCGGGGAACCCGGATAGCCCAAAATGGGGGTTGTGCCAGTGCCTTCGTTAACGCTTCTGAAGCACTTAGATCCTTTGGTGGTGGAGACCAGAGGAAGCGATTAATCCTGTCGCAGAGGAGGGTGGGATTAGTTTGCAGTAAATAAACCGCAGAGGTCACACACAGAACAAGCAGGACAAAGCGAAATACTCATTCATCGAGCGATATTCATCCCGAGAGTTGAATGAAGCAGGGGGTATCGTCGGAAAAAAAGCATGTTACTGCGCGGTTCCAGCCTGCCTCCCAAAGCCCTGCACACAAGGGGTGGTCGAACATACCCACGGCCTCGGGGTTGGCTTTTCAAAACTTCTGAGTGCTTAATTTTGAAACTGTACCATTCTTTTAACAGGTTTTTATGCGTAATTTATAATTTATATTGCAATGGCACCCAAAAGTGCTTTCCAGGCACTGAACACATCTGTAATTCTGGCTCTAAAAAGCTTCCATTCTGGAAGAGAAAAGAAAAATTGACCAGTATTTCCCAAACAGAATTGCCCAAAGTTTCCGTTGATGTATTTTTAACAATGCATAGTATGAAATCGTGTCTAATATTATTCGCAGGATTGCAACAGGTGTTCTGAATTGGCTGGGGAGGCTGTGCAGAAAGGGCAGCTGACAGCTTACTGTATATGCAGATGTAACATCTATTAGAAATATCCTCTGTGGTTTGCTCGCATGCAAGCTGAATAGATTCTCAAAACAATGCTGCTGTGAATGGAAGCCATCAGCGGAATTGCTTAAGGCTGCAAAACCCATTACTTATACAGCAGTAGATGCAAGAGCGAGTGCCACAGTGTAGTAACTTGTCCTGCTTTGCTGGAGTTGTTTAGCGGTTATTAGATCAATATATGTACATCCACATCTAATAAAGTGCAAGAAAATAATTTATCTCAATCTGTATTGTTAGCTCATTTTTTTTGTCCTAATATTATCCAGCTGCATAAACAACGTAAACTTTCTCTTTTTGTGCCTTTTTAATGCTGCTGCCATTTTTTCACGCACAGAATAGGTTGTGTCCCGTGATTATTAGAGCCATGTTACCGTACTTTTCACACTTACATTTTAATTACAGCTGTAGAACCTATGCAAAATCATCTATTATAACGTTGTGAGCAAATAGCACAGATGATGCATTTAGTATTTGATTGCTGTTAGTTTACTGATTGTTTAAACATGCAGACAGTCCTTGCTTTGACTAGTAAGTCTAAGACCACGCACACACACAGGGTTATAGGTTTTATATTTGCTATTTTAGATGACTTCGGTTTTCAAAAGGATTAGCTGGGAAAGCAGGGAGTCTGGCACCCAGAAATATGGCAGCTTCGGTGGCTTAAAATTGAATTTATTATTCAATGAAGGAAGGGACCCATGAGAGCAAAAGTTGGTCAAGAAAAGTTTTGGCCTTGGTTGGTGGTAGTTCGTGGGTTTGGAAGAGCTGGTGATACGTCTTGGGGTTGGAGGTAGAAAATTATTTTAGCTATTTTCTGCTGAAAGTGCAGCATGATTTGCATGGAGTAGCCCAGGTGAAAAGCGGTCATTACTCAAGTAGGTAGGCAATGTGGTTTTATAAAAATAAACCAGATTTTTACAGAAGAGGGAAGAAAGTCTGACCAGGAGGAGTATACACTGTAAAAACAACCAGGTTTTGTTCCGCTTTCTTAACAGAAGCTTATACGCAGTTATGGAAAGGACTTTGCTGCTATTTATTGCCTGAAGTTACTGATCCATCTGTCTCTACCCAAACTCCTGTACAGACAATCTTTCCTCATAATTCTGCCTTTCTGCTTTCTGTTATTATTCAGTATTGGTATGGGAATTTTGTCTGGTAGCCAAGTCACAGGCTTATCAGATATTGCATAAATCCTGAACAGTTGGTAACTGATCTGTGCAAAATTGTCAGTTTAGGGTTAAATATTGTTGAATAAATAGACCTGCTGAAAGAATAGAATCTAACAATTCATGTTTGGGGGAAATAATTACTGAAGAAAGAGCCCACAACATTGTATGTGTGTTAGAGAGAATGGTCAGAATATCTTTTAATTCAGCATTTACCCGTGAGAATTGTTCCCATGAGGAACCTTGCAATAAAATCTGCTTGGTCTATGAGAATAGAAAGAAATTGAATAAAAAGACTCCATTTCCACTTGTATTTATTCAGTCTGGGAAATTCAGTGGGCCGCAGCATTAGTATCAGCAGGGGATTCCTTGCTCCTAGCGTTAAATTACTGTCATAATCGCTCAATTATTTCTTCCTTGTACTGTTTAAAATAAAAATCCATCACATTCTATGTTTTTTTCTAACATTTATTAGGTTGAGTGTTTAGGAAAATCAATTATATTCAGTCAGGCATGAATTGATGAATGTTCTTGTAATAATTGTCAGTTGTTAAACTGAATGTACTTTCTCTCTTCACCCCTTTTCATTTCCTTCAGAGGGCAGAGGTGGCTCAGAGAGAGGCAGAGACCTTAAGGGAGCAGCTCTCATCAGCTAACAAATCTCTCCAACTTGCTACGCAGATCCAGAAGGCACCTGATGTGGTGAGAGAAAATATTTACTGACTCTTACAGGTTTCTGACATTCCTGCAGTACAGCTCTTTCAATTTATGCTCACAGCTATAAAAATACCTGTTCGGAGTAGTATTTTAACTGAAATGGAACTGTGTTCCTTTGGGATTGCAGTTTGCTTAAACTTCTGAGGGGGTTGGTGGCTGCAGAAGACCATGGGAAGGATAAAGGTCACTCTGCCCCGTGATGACTGGGCTGGGGATCCATAACTCTCTGTGGCTGCCGGTCCAGCTGGATAGCAGCAACTCTCAGAAATGATTTCGCGTTGGCAGGAGCGTCAGCAGAGGAAAAACAAAGGCAGCGATGTGGTATAACAGAGTGCGGGTGGGCCATCAGCACATGCCGCCTGCAGGGCACAGCGGAGGCATGGAGCTCCAGACTGAGGGGACCAGCTTTGCCCAGAGTTGGCTGCATTAGCAGGGACCTGCTGCCTGCCCATTTCTGCGTCTTGTTACTTAGTGTATGGGCTGTGAGAGGACCTAGAAATAAATTCACCTGTAAACCCAATAAAAGAAGCTTAGAAGATTGAGAAGATCTCCTCTACTCCTAAAGGTTTGGCTGGTTGTTGCCTTCACTGTGTGTTTCTAAATAAAGCAAACCCTGCTGTTCGGGGAGGTTGGTAGCTCTGACTCTGCTGGTCGGACCTTGCAGGCACAGAGTGCTATTACAGGACTCCAGCTGGTCCCGGGTTAACAGGTATCACAGATCAGCAGACAAGATTATTTTGATTTTTGTTTGCCAAAGGAGAAATAGGAGTATTTAAATGTAACTGTGCAATTAAGTGAAATTTAGTCTGCTTCTAAACAGCAGATTTAACAAACAAAAGAAATCACGCTCCTTATATTGCTTTTTCTCTTGCGAGCCATATACGTGCTTGACACTGATATCGGAAAAACACATGGTTGCCTTTAAGACGCATTTAAAGGGAATGAGTAACAAACTGTAAGTCCTCCAGATTGATTTGGTCATCTATTAATACGACCCAGTATTTTCTCAGAGAAGTCAAAAGATAGACAAGCAGGCTGCAAAACAAAAAATAAAAAACTAAAAAAGCCTGAATATCACTTGTAACTCTGAATTACCTGCCTCTTCCTATCTTGTGTCCTAGTCTTATCATTATTTTAACATTAGGTCTTTCTTGTATTTAATAGTACTTCTGCACTTCATTTATATTTAATATGACAACTACTGCAGGATGAAAATGATCATTATCTATCTTATTTCAGACTCGATGTTCTAGTCTCAATAGGCACAAGCAGCAGATGATTATACAACTTGTGATGTTTCATGCAAGCAAATTAGAGGGTTTTTCAAGTTAAAAGTATAATTCAGTGTAATAGGAGAGCGTTGTTAACTGCTGTTCGTACATGTAGCTTTCTGTGAGATACAATGGTATGTAGTCACCGAGAATCAAGCTAAATGTTTAGAAGATACGGAAAAGGTATTTTGTTGTGCCTGTATTTTGCAGAAAAAAGGGTATGGAGTATATTTTAATCTGCTGCAATACCGTCTTGAATTGTAAGGAAGGTGCTTGGGTGACAGCATTGGTGGGTTGAATTTTCAGCTCTCTCACCATAGGGTCTTTGGTATAATGCTTACGATCATGGTCTCTCTTGGTAAATGGATTCTTTCCTACTTCACTGGTGTTTTCTAAGGAACAGCCATTAACCTTTGTAAGACACGTTTTAGGCTTTTTAATGGAACATGCGTTCATCCTTGGGCTGCCTCATGCTCCCCAGATCTGCACAAGGATTTCCTTACGTTCTTCACGGGAGAGAGGTTCAGAGCTCTCCGATGCATTATAGCTGTTGATCTCTTAACACAAAAGGAGGCAAAAGAGATGGTACAACTAGTCTGTATTGTCTTTTCTGAATAGATCCTACCTTCTTAACTTCTCTGTCCTCTCTTGTTTCTTGTCCTGGTGGAAAGTCGATCTAGTGAGGAAGTTTCAGGCTTGAGGATAGATTTTGCAGCTGTGGGAAATGGGAAGATGAAATACCCTGGTTTAGGAAAGGGAATTTCTGGAAGTGGACACCATAGGGAGAATGGCCTTGTCTTAACAACTGTCACTTCCATCTTCATCCCCATGAAAGAGAGGCTTTAGATGCTAGCAGTAATGTTAACAGCAAACGATTTTCATGGAAGGAGCAAGTTCATTGGAAGTAGCACTTTGGGGCAATTTTTTACAATTTTGCCTGGAACGTGTGGCATGCGTAGGAAGAGCCAAAGGCACATGACTCTGCCGTTCCTGATTAAGATATTCTGCTCCATTACTTCAGAATATTTTATCTGATTAGTATTTTGTAAGCACAGATTTTCATAGTTGTCAAAGCATTTGGACTATTAATAATAAATAGATGTAAATAGAATCCCTTTACTTTCATGGCTGCGTTTTTCCAGTACGCTTATGAAATAGGGACATTTATTCTCTCCATTATCACTATTTTACCAAGGAGCTGTCCTGGGCATTAGAAGGGTTCATCTTCCAGATTCACACAGTCAATCACAGAAGTCCCAAATTTAGAGATTATTTCTGTCTCTCATGCCACCCGATGCCATGCTCGGGCCTTACCGCACTGCCCTTAATTCAAGCTTGTTGCCCTTTTCATTTATGTGGTCTGATTTTTTTTTTCACATTAGGAGCAGGCCATCGAGGTGCTAACACGGTCCAGCTTGGAAGTAGAACTGGCTGCAAAGGAACGGGAAATCGCCCAGCTCGTAGAAGATGTCCAGAGACTCCAGGGCAGCCTCACCAAGCTGCGGGAGAACTCCAGCAGCCAAATCTCACAGCTGGAGCAGCAGCTGACCGCCAAGAACAGCACGCTTAAAGTAAGGCTCGGCTCTGTGCTCAGCGGCTTTTGAAGGATATAAATGACGTACCAATATTGGGTTTTACTGACTTAAGTTTTCTGTGGTTCTGAGAGGCACCGTAAAAGCCATTGACTTCTTCAGGATGCTGTTGAATTCCGGTTTCTGTGACATTTCATTCTAAGTGATCACGATTTTGTTGAAATGTAATTTACCTAGTTCTCTTGTTTTGAAAGTTGTTTTTGCACAACGTGGCTGCCTTTAGAATTAAAACCAGCAACAAAACCCAACATATATTTACCATGGATATGTAGTGAAATAGCTGAACTGAAAAGGCACAGAAGATCCTCCTTAGGTTTTAAAACTTTTAATTCCCACTCCAGTGATTGGTATTGCAGATTTACCAGGAATGTTTATTGTGATATGGTCTATCTTTGAATTTACCTGCTACTTCCTCCAGTTCTCTCCACTGGAAAAGGGAAGCGTATCAATCAGAGCAGAAAAACAGTAAAATCAAGACACAGAGAGAAAGCTTTTTAGTCTTAATAACTGTTTAATTATTTTTTTAACTGTGTATTTGCTGCACGGTAATTCCCATTTATAATTAGCGGTCCAGTCCTATACTTATTTGCATACAAGTAGCACTGCACTAAAAGCAGAAGAAACATTTAAAAATTTTGTGAGTGACCCTTTTACCTTTTGCTTCAGCAGCTTTACTTTCTTTGGGCGCTAGCCCACACAGTTTTGATCTATCAGTAAGCATGAGAAATGTTTCCTGACATGTGTTATGAATCAGTTCTCTGTAACTCCTTTCTCTTTCATTGTTCTACCATCTATGAGCTTCAAAGTGTAAACAAGATAAATTTATCTATTCCATTAAAGACTTCATAGTTTTGCAGGTTTTATAGTCTGAGAGTTTTTTGAAAGCAGAAGGCTGATAGTACCCACTTAGCTCTGACTGTGGCGTGGGTAGCTTTCCTCTATCAGAATGATTTAATGTGCAATTGAAACTCTTACAAATTGTTCTAATTCTGACTTTTTTAGTGGTTACTAGTTTTGCTCTGGTGCAGCATAATTTATGTGGACAAATACCTGTTAGGCATGAAAGACAAAGTGTTGCATTCGCTATGCTTTCTGCATGTTTTAAGTCAGCCTTGCAGAATTTTTATGAAAATACAGTAGAGCAAAGGAAACCTGTTACGTTCTTATATCGCCGGTATCGGTCTCTGCCTGTTTGTCACCATGTGGGCACCGCTCTTAATGAGGGAAGAAGGAGCTGGCCTGGTTTTGAGGGACACATTTTGCTAGCTACGCCCATGCTATGGGGTCTCTTTATTTTTTCATAAAGCCTGATAGAAAATATCTTGAGTCCCTGCACTTCACAGATTTTCTGGGAATAAAGCATGTTCCTGGTGAGGTCTGTATTAGCTTAGCCATTAACTTCAAAGAGAATAGGATCATAGAAATGACAGAGCAAGTCTTTGATTTTCATTTCAGTAATCTCCTTCCATTTTCTCATAGGCTTGCCCAGCTAATGCTCTGTAGTTAGGTTCCTGTTGCTAGTGTCTGATGCAATGACTCTATTGATAAAGTTTTAATCTTTTCAACCCTCTTTAACCCTATTTGTTGCACTATAAAAATATTTCAAAATACATACTTTTACCCCAAAGTGCTGGGAAGACCTGTGTCTGAGATCTGTTGTACAAAGAACCAAATCTCAGTGGTGATATGTTGATCTCATGTTTGATTATAGAGGAATTGCTTCTAAGATAACTGAGATTGTAATGGTTGCCTCCACAAAAAATGAATCACAGTTTCACAAATTAAAGCAATGTTCTCAGACCATATCTTGGGGGAATTCTTTAATACTCTATGACTTAATGAAACAATACAGAAATACTTTCAAAATTATTGCTTCTTTATCTTCATCTGATCTAATAATCAAAACATGTCCTCTAGTAACAAGGCTTTTCTAACTATAATTATATTAACCCTTTATTGCTGGGTGTTAGAGCTTTGCTGCTACACAGTTAAAATACAACAGTGCTACTTAGCAAAGAGATACATCAAATAATCTAGGTTAATTAAATATGGGCTTCTTAGTTTATCGCTCTAAACTAAACGACGACATTAGTCCAGTAGGGTTCTTGTAATGGTTTAAGCCGCTTAACACAGCCCATACTGTTTTACCTAAGACACTTCTGTTAATAATACACTGATGATTTTAATTTTTTTAAATAACATAAGAGGGGACCCAGTCTATGCATGCTCCAGCGTGGGGTCTTTTGTACAACAAATGCAAGACAATTCCTTAACATGGAATATTTGCAAATGTAGTGTGCAGAAATGCCACCAGTCCATTCCTTCTGTCCTCTGGCTCCCTGTACTTTGTGTGTTGGAGCACGTTAGAATATATTTTGTCTGAATTAACCAGGTTGATATTTAGTGCAAGATATTAGTTCCTCCAGATTGTCTCACAGCTTGAACCTTTGTTATACCATGTTCTGTGCATTTTACAGGGTTCTTTTGAGACAATTACCATACTAATACATTTTAAAACAGTCGTTGACTGGGAAGATGCCAAGTGCCTAAATGGTCTGCTTATATACAGGCATTGCATTCTCAGTTGTTTAGTTTATATTGTTTAGTAAAGTATACGTTGAGGTGCAGATTTTCCATGGCAACGATCTCTATATTAGGTACTTGGGAATGATGGATGTACGTGGGTTTTTATACAATTCAAAGTAAAAGATTGCTGGTTGCCGTACTGCTATAACAGCATACAAGTACCTGAGAGTCCAAAACAGCTTCATTCTGTCAACCTTTTTTTGGGTTTTTTTAAAAACTGTTTTGTACCTAAAATTTCCAGAAATACTTTCAGGGTATAGCATATCCCTATACATAATTGCATTTAGTACAGATTGCGTTAAAATAAGAGTCGTTAGCTTTTCTGTATTTTCCATCTGTTTCTACAAAGAGCTTTTTTCTTAGCATACTTTTGCATAAGTAACTAACATTAATCCAGGATATTACTTGTTTTAAATTTATTCCGGCACTTTTTGTACTGAGGACTAGTGTAAATAGCCAGTTATCCCTACTGTAAACACTAATCTGCTGTAGAGTCAAAAATGTCACCAGACACAGAGCTAAGGAAGAGGTGGATTGTAGCAGTATCTTCGCTTTAAGCTGTAGAACAGCAAAAAGCAGTTGGAAGCGGCCGGCAGAGTGACACGGCCGAGGAGAGCTGAAAGATGTCGTGTGGTTCAGCGAGGTCCTCCCATTGCCTGCATTGAGTTTTCAAGTTGTCTGAGTTGTCCATCATGATGCTGAGCCGCCTCACCAGTTCGGAGGGCCCTCTGGCTCACTGGTTTCATTTAAAGACCCCTCTGCAGTCCCACCGAGCCTGATCTGCTGCGTTGAAAAGCTTGGCTGGATTCCTTGTTGCAGCAACTGCATTTTGCTCAGTGTTGAGCTGTAGCTTGAGAAGCTGCTTGAACTTGTGGCACGTTGTAGCTGGCCCTCCTCAAAACTAGGAGAACTGAAGTGACACCTTGGGCCCTGGGATTACATAGTACATTTGTGTAATGAGATTTCAGCACGCGTTGGACGTTATCAAAACCTCCAGCGTCTTTAACATTTGTGGGATTTCCCTAGTCACATCAACCAGGATTTTCCTGGTTACATCAGTACAGGGTTTTTTAGCAGGGCCAAAATACCTGTAGCACTGGGTCTGCTCTAGAAAGCTAAATTGGTACTCCCTATAATTCCAGTTAGTAACTGGAATTTGGTAAGGCAAGACATGTCAGAAGAAATGACTGAAACTTGCCCTGTATTTTTCCAAGTGAAAAAAATCGATTTCGCTCAAATAGACTTTTTTTTTTTCCTTTTTAACACAATCTGAATGACTGCACAAGTTACTGAAGGCTAAGGATGCTAGGACAGAAGACCTTTTAAGAGGCTGCTCATTTCATCAATGTCCCATAGAGCGCAAATTCCACACTTAACAACTGTCTCTGCTTTCCTGCAACAGCCGGTGGTGGTGATCCATTAAGAGCTGCTTGTTGAGCAGCTGCCAGAGCAGGGCCCGTGGATTACTGCTGGGAGATGCCTCTTGTCAGCAGTGATTGTGGATTATGGTATCAAAAAGCAGGAAGAGGAATTTAAGAGGACTGCATGTTGATAACGTGGATGTCCACTTTGTCACTGCTTTAGTATACGTACTACTAGCAAGGCAGAAATGTCAGCAATGCGTAAGCTGGAAAGGATGTGATGGAAACCCTTTAAAAGATGGCAGAATAGCTGGAAGTCCAACAAAGTCCCATCGTACTGCTGTTATCTGAAGAAGCCTCATTTAAATTACTAAGGTGGCTCAGATGATGGACTCACTACTCTGTGGGTGCTGTATTACATGGTGTTTAGGGTTGCTGCTTGTACCCATTGGATAGCTTTGAGATGGGTGGTATCTACACACTGGCTTACGTGGGAAGACAGGATGGTTAAGAGGTTCCCACTTCGAATTGTTTGTCTGTCCCAGCCCTGCCGTTCACACCCCCGTAACTGCTGGTGCAGGACTTCATGGGGCTGCATTATAAACACGTTTGCTAAAATGATCCAAGTTCACATCAGCCCTTCCCTGCCTTCCCCCTGTGTCCAAACGAGGCGTGCAGGAGTGGGCGTAGGATCTTCTTGAATTCACTTCTCCACTGAAGGCAGCCTCTCCTGGACATGACGCCCTATTTTTCCTTTTCTTGTCATATATTCCTTTCCTTTCCGAAGTAGGTGCTCTGTCTTTGAGGGTAGTACATCCTTGTGTTATTTCTGTTTCCTGTGACCTTTGGGATTCTGTGCCAATTTTAACACCAAAAATGAAGTGAAGCAGAGCTAGCCTGAACTTATCCATGGAAGTTGGAAGCCAGCAAGTTCTGTTTTTTCTTTGCTTAGATCAGGTGTGCCTGCACTAAGCAAAGAAATTTTTAGTGGGAAATTAATGTGGCTTCTGCAAGCAACATAACGGCATCAATTATGTATCACTATGTTTTAGGCCGCCTGAAGCATTTATCCTGTAGTGATGAGCACTGTTGTTGGGAGCAGGGGCTCTTGGGTAAGGTCCAAATGTGTGGCATTGCGTTATGGATTGTCTTAGGAGGTTTATTTCAACGTTTGTGGCATCTTCACACCGAAGAGAAGCCATTGAGACTGCCCCAGGTCAGGCAGACCTGAGCAAAAAGACCTGTTGAGTTGGTCTCAATGTTTCATCACCGGTGTGTAATCATATCAGTTATTGCTATAAGTAACGCTTGTAAAACGACTTGGTACAGCTGTTTTGCTTGGGCATGAGGCATTGTAGAAGTCTTACAAGCCTAAGGTGTTCCAGTCAACAACAGCTTCTTCAGTCTGTTTTTTTCATGTGGATAAGGTTATCAAGGACTGTCGTATTAAGAATACAGTATGTGCCAAAGCATCCTGCTTGTTTACTCCATTTTTCAGTTGCGTAAAAATTGTAGCTGCCCCATTTTTAATACCTTCTTCCCCGATCTCTTTATTGCACACGTGACAGTGACATTGCAAACAGCCAAATTGGGACCTACTGAATTCTGTAATGCTTGGCACTCCGTAAACAAAGGAAGAGTCAGGTATAATTGTGTTTACGTTGAATTGGTTATAGTTTGTTTTCTAATATATGTAAATTAGGTATGAGTCATTAACACTCACTTGTGCGCTGCTGTATATATGGAATAATTTAAAGATGATATTGAAAGCCTGCAGAAAAAAATCTAAATAATTAAATCCATGTTCTTTCTTTTAAAGCAACTGGAAGAAAAACTGAAAGGACAGGCTGATTATGAAGAGGTTAAGAAAGAATTAAAGTAAGTGTTAAATGCTTACATAATTTTTTCACAAACTCTAGTTCAACAATGCTTGTTAAATGAAGCCACAATGTTCTTGGAACAATAAAGAATTCAGTCAAAACCACAAAGACGGGGAAATCGGGAATATTGGCAAAAATTGCATCCAGAACCAGTGCGACTGCTGTCTCAAGAGTACTCCTTTTTGCTGCAGCAGAGTATTGCAATGGCAAATAATGCAAGTGTCCATGAAGAAAAGGCGCTAAAACAATCATCCACCAAGGGTAAAAAGTTTGAAAATCCATGGTATTTTAGGTGGACCACTCTTTAAAAATCCCCAGCCAACAGCTGAATCTAATGTGGACCAGGAATTTAATGCAGGGCCTTTGGCCATAATGCCTTTTCTATGCCTTTGCCAGCCAGTGTTCAGCACTTTACCATTTTAATGCTGTGCTTGTTTCACTGTATATTTTTGCTAATATATTGTGGTTTTAAACTAAAGCCGTATATAGCCTCTTCCCCTTTCAAGGTTTTATTTAAGAGACTTAAAAGAGCCTCATTTTAAACTATAACAAGATAAGCTGTCAGGTTCAGAAGAGAAGTTTTTTGACTAGAAATATGTTTAGTGTCAAGGTTTAAATAACTGCAAGAAACTCCATCTCTTCTTTCATCATTCTGGCATTTTTGTGTGTATTTTAAGAAGACTGAAAAAATGTTACCTTGTTTAATGAGGTATTTCACATGAGGCTGGTAGTCATGTGCTTTTGTTTACACGTCCCTGGAGAATATGGAAAGCAGGTTTGGTTTTGCAAGCCCAGTGACTGCCCAGCCTCTGGTGCTGTTATATTCAAGCCACACTGGCTGCGGTTCTGCTTCGCTGCCAGCTGCAGCACGCGCTGATGTAGGTATATGGTTTCAGTCAAGCGAAATGACTTGTCCATTTCTTTGGTCATTATGTCTGAATATTAACTGGTCTCAAAAAAGCTTCATCGTTTTAGTGATACAGGTAGATACGTCCATGTTCTCTTCTGAGTTAAGGAAATGCACCTTCAGATTTCAGCCAGTTTATGCCCTCAGGTGTAAAGTAGTGGCTGGGAATTAAGCCACAACCTTCCACTTTGCTACAGGAGTTACTAAATGTGAAGGTACTGAAACAACAAATGAGTTTTAAATCTTACCTGGTTTAATGCCTTTACTTTAGATACGAAACTCATTTAGATCCCTGTATTCCTGGCAGTAATGCCTGGGGTTTTTTATTTTTTACGACACTGATTTACATGAGGGCACAGATGGGAGGGCAAGTAAGAGGTCCAGGAGAAGCCATGACACAGGAGTCTTCATATAGTGCTTCTGCCTGCTGCTGTTATTTCGAGATGAGCCTGCAGTGAAATAGATGGGAGAATCTCCGGGAAGTGGCCCTTGTTGGGTGCCAGTACATTAACTCATGGTTCTGCTGGCTGTTACAGCTTTTATATCTCCCTAATTTGTGGGTAACATTTCTTTGTCTGGGCAGGCTGGCTTTGGCTAGCTGGTGGGTGGCCTGGGGTTCACACGCCGTGCTGCTGGGTGGTGCAGGGGATTAAGAACCTCTCTGAGAGCACTGCAGATGTGTGCAATGCTGCATCGTCACAGCAGCTCATTCATGCCACCCTCTCTGCTCCCAAATGGTCCAGAAGATGTGCCAAAATCTAAAAGTGCATCACCTGGGAGTGACAGTCTGATCTGAAGTGAAATGATGACAAGTCTATTGCTATAAATCTGGTATCTCTTAGACTGAATCCTACTGTGCCTGCCTTTGTGCCCTGAAACACTGACAAATACGAGCTGCTCATAACGTGCATACGCACCAAGAAAAAAGGTATCTTAGTCAGTAATGAAGAAAGAGAATAAACTTCTCAGTTGTTTGGCACTGATGTGTTTTCCTTAATCCTCCCAAGGATGTTAGAGGCATTCCAGGCTGAGGGATCTCAATCAGCCAGTTTCTAACCTTGGAGGAACTTAACTGGATGCGCGTCAAGATCTGAGATGTGAGAATTCCTTGCTTTCTGCATTGGCTTTTGTGCCAAAAGGCTTTTAAACCTATTTTTGAGATCTGAGAGCTCTGTGTGTCCTTTCAGTTCCCTCTCGAGTAATATGACAGTGCTAACCCTCCTGCCTTTGCAGTCGGATCATAGGAACAGAAAGTCGAGCTGTCCCAATGCACACTTTGCTTTAGAGTAAGGTCTTTCAAGTCGTCTTAGATGTGCAGATTCAAGTCACAAGATCATTCCTTCAAAAAGACTGAGTCAAGATCTCATGGGCAAAGATATTCCTGGTATCCAAAGGGGAAACATTTTGCCTCCTCATATTCCTGAGGAAAGTGTCTCTTTTCTGACACATTTAGAGAGTCATTTTTGACATGTTTAACGTTCACATTTTTTGAAAAAATGAACCTGACGTAGTGAATATTCCTCCAAGGGCAATTCAAGATACCATCAACCAGGTTTCTAGTATATTTTGGGTTCTAAATGTATAGGAAATTACCTGTGAAATTGCCAGAAGGCTGTTTCAGGTAGCAAAGAATCCACTTTAAGTAGGCAGAGGTCAGTAAGTTTCCAGCCGAAGTTTGAATACGCATGCCTGCTCCGAGCTCACTGGAAAACATGGCTGCTGCAAGGTTCAGGGTACTTTCTGAAGGTCCCAGCAGGCAGCAGGTGCTCAGAACCAAAATGCATTGGTAGAGCAGCCTGTGCAACTGGAGGGCACAACGGGATCAGGGCTTTAAAGCCAGACTTTCGGTGCCGAGAACCCGATGCACACACTACGTTCAGGCTTACTTCGCACTTCCGACCAGTTTCAGTCTGGTTCTGTAGGCAGCACGGTAGTGGTCAGAGCACGTCACGCGTGCTCCTCCGCGAGCGAGCGGCTGCTTTTGGTTTAGTCTCGTCCAGAAGGAACGCGGTTGGTATGCTCCAGGACTGCTCTGCATGGCAAGCGCAAGCGCGGTAAGTGGGGATTACTGGGAGACTTGTGCTGCAAGTGTGCTGCTGATCTGAACCGAAACGGGAGAAACGCCTGTGATTTGCCGTGGGAAGTTTGCCACAAGATAAATTGCTGTTACAAATTGTTTATTTTTAAATTCAGATGGGTCTCCTTATTTGACCGTCCCGGGGACATACATTACTACGTGCTGTCCTTTCAGAGGCCGTACCCTGCAGAATACATAGAAGGATGAAACCAGTTACCTACCAGTGACTGGAGATTTTCCTAGACGAGTCTCTGTATATTTATCTCCCCCAGCACCTTGGAGTCCTGGTAGCAGAGCTGTGCCTCTGAAGAGCTGTCCCAAGAAACGCTTGCTTTCAGCAGTGATAGGAACCTGAGTAAACATGCCTGTGATGTCAGTATAATGTCACGGTCTTTAAGAACTCACGCCGTTAATGCACAACCTCTCTCCTTGACTGCCAAGACTCCATCAATAGCAGAAAAGAGGCACTTTTGCGTGCGGGTGAGCTGTTGTGCCCATGTGAAGCAGAGTCTTAACAGCATTACTTTCTGTGCTTGTATATGGGATGATGGCTGTAATCTACAGCGATTTCTGCTGGCAAGAGGTGTCATCCAGTGACGTCGTATGATGAAACTGATGGCCAGAATTTTGTGATTTTATTAATTACTATATTTGTAAGGGTGCCTGTCAGAATCGACAGTGTATGCATTGAGTACGCGCAGATGCAAAATACGTGAGGTTTGTGTCTCGGAATGACTTTTTTTTCTTGCATTTGCTGTGACTTTGCGTGATCTTGAGTGAGTCACCGAGGCCACTGATTTCCAGAGTGCCACTTAATGGGCATCTAATTCTGGATTCATGCGCAGACAGAGTTATAGAGGAGCTGGACGCCACATGGTTTGCGGCAGTTAATGAGTGCTGGGTGCCTGGCTGACTCCTAGTGGCATCCAGAACTAGTGCCTACATCTTAATACTGACCACCTGCTTTTTTTTGACCCAGTTTCCACATTTAGTACATGGTTAAACATATTCCCCCTGCTTCACAAAGTTCCTGGTGCTTTATACATGGAAAATGCTGTATAAACACTATCTATATCTGTTTACATATTTTTCTTCAACAAATGAATGGCGTCTTTGTACAAAGAGAAGCTGAAATCATTTATTGCTTCAGTCTGAGAAACTTAACGTCCTACCTGCAGCAGGCCTATTTAAAAAAATTTATAAGACAGAGCATAGTAACAAGTTTGTATTCCTGTAAAATTAGCATTTGCCAGACGATACAACTCTAGCTGAAAGACTTTGAAGGGAGACGTCCTTTGAGCGCTCAGTAGTTATATAAAATATTGACAATGAGACTATCAGATTCTTCTCTTAATGTACTTATAAATATTTGGATCTTTCATATTTCTTGAGAAATATTGTGCCATTGTGTCTTCCCTTTGCCATAGAACTAGGAGGTTATTAAAATGAAAAACTGCCTTTTAGCCTGTAGTGTCTTGGTTGGGAGGATTATTTGTGCATATTTTCCTTGATATGTGAGCTGGTGTATATTATATAAAGTACTGTAACTGCGGTGGCGATTCCCCTGTTTTGTTGCTTTGCTGCAACTTTTTCATTCCCTTCAAGCTTCACAGATAAATTTATATCGCTTTTGACAGCTTAAAATGTTATATCCTTATTAACCTTTAAATTTACGCTTTAAACTGGCCTGGTGGGATTGCATATGGAATGATTTAGATGACGCTGGAGAAAATTTTCGTATCCAATAACTAGTTTGAATAGTTATTCTATATTCATTATGAGGCTGTGTCACTGCAAGGAAAGTTGTTATCACTTGAAGTGTTGCGGGAGAGTAGGAAATGATAATGTTAATGCTCATTAGTGCAGTTGTTATGAAAAGAAGAAATAGAAAATAATTTTTTTTTCTGCCTTCCACAGTATATTGAAATCCATGGAGTTTGCACCATCTGAAAGCTCTGGTGCGCAGGTACTGAACCTACTTTTGTTTTCTTTACTTCAGCAGTTCAGTTAATTAACAAAAAAATTGTCTTGCAGTTCGTTGGTGTTGGAACGGAGAATTTCCTGTTGATGTTGAGACATATGGGTTGATCATTGTTTTCCTGATGTTTTCTTATGTAAAAAGCTGAACTGAACATTTTTTGCCTGTTAATTTCTTTTAAGTGGTCAAGGACAAAGAATGACGTTTCAGCTGTGCTGGAGCGGATAACCATAACGTTGTGAAGTTGAGTCTTTTAAAGATACTAGAGTTGGTGTACAGCTACGCTGAGATTTGTGTGTTTTTTGTACTGACAGTACGCTGAGCAAGGTTTTTAGCATTTTTAGGTCTTTGTTAGCCTTGAAAATAATGTTCAGAAAAGAAAACAAACCTTTGAGTACTGAGAAAGCAGGACAAAGCTCTGCTATTCCAGCAAATTAATCTTACTTAAGTTTAAAGGTTACGAATTAAATTCCTGTTTCTGAAATCTGAACCCAATATCAATATACTGGGATTAATTTTCAAGACGTTTTCTAATGATGAAGGGTTAGATATTTAGTGGAAGGTAAATGGCAGGTTTCTATGAGTGATTTTATTTTTGAACAAACTGTTTATGCTGAAAGGCAGCATTTCAAGGAAATGCTTAACTTGGGTCAGTTGACCTAGAAGAAATAATATAATCTTAGATCCTATTTTAATCAGATTAAAAGAAGTCTACAGCTTTGAAATCAAAAGCGTGCCAGTACCATTTTAAAATAAGTAGGAATAAGAAAATTACACATTTACACATTTTAAAGTAACACAGAATTGATGAATGATTTACAATTAAAATTAAACAGTGAATCTCTTCTATGGCTCACGCAGGAGCACTGAGCGATTCCTGCAAATATATGCATGGTGAATTCCCTAGCTGCGTTCGTGGCAGAGATGAGCACTTGTTTTCTTCTTCTGAAATCCTTTTTAGTGCCTGAGCGAGACTCTTAATGCTTTTAGAAACAAACCTCCCACTTTGATTTTCTTTAGGATGCATCTAAACCACTGGAGGTGCTGCTGCTGGAGAAGAACCGCTCCTTGCAGTCGGAGAATGCCACGCTGCGTATCACAAATAGTGACCTGAGTGGTAGGTTGACACAATTTTCGGCTCTTCTGGTTTGTTTGCTGTCTTGTAAAGGGAGGGAGGGCTGAGTGAGAGATGAGTGTCTGAGCTAATGCATGGCAGAAAGATTAAGAGGCAACAGGAACACTGAATAATGTTTGATTTCTGCAGTTTTATAGGCTGGATAATAAAATAAAACTTGGAGACCTCAGAGAGTCTTTAAAGGCTAGGAAAGAGAGGCATTACAAGATGTACCAAGTGGTAGCGTTTGAGGCTGTCTTCTGTTTTGGGAACAAATTCATCCGTGGCACCAGAAGTCTCTTCCCCCACACACAATGTTATGCAAAATGTTTGCATGTAGAACACAATAATCTTCCTGTCTGATACGCTTAGATATACTACCAGCAGGTCAGCTCGGAAAAACAAAATACTTTCTTTTTAGCAAAGCGTGTTTGCCGTTTAGCTTTCCTATTGTGGGTTTTTTACATCTTGCGTGCACATTTTTTAAATGACAAGTCATGGAATTTCCAGATACTTGAATGCTTATGGTTTTTGCAGCTGGAAGAAAGTTAAAAGTTGCCACTGGCCCTGGGATTACTGAATTTTGAAGTGTTTTATGACTTTAACTGAGTGATCTTGGTGCATCCACCTAACGGTGATTCCTTTATTCAAATTGGTTTGTTCCAAAATGTAAATGTTTGCTGCATTTGGGTTCAGTCAGGTCCAATGAATAATGTCTTGAATGAGAGACAACAAAGAGACTTGCTGTCTGTAACTGCATTTATTTTAAATGTATAACTGCACTTCATGTAATTGTTCTAGTTTTAATGTTTGTAAGGGGGATTCTCCAGGCTGCAACATACAAGAAAGGTGCAAACATGAAATGCATGTTGTTTGTTTTGGGGGCCTTGTTTGGCTTATTAAAATTTCAATTATGGAAAACAAACAAACAAACAAACAAAGAAAACAAACCAAAACCAAAATGAAAACAAAAATCCCACCGCCACTTCATTGGCCCTTGTAAATCTGCACTTTTTCCCTTTGCGGGGCAAACTTTGCATTTTTTTATCTTGGTTTTTCCCTCTTTGATCCCCCATAATGCATTATGTTTGACCTTCCTTGTAGGGTCAGCCAGGAGAAAAGGGAAAGACCAGCCTGAGAGTCAGCGTCCTGCAACCTTGCCGGCCTCCCCTCCTTCTCAGTTGCTCCGCAACGCGGGGGAGCAGGCTTCCAATACTAATGGTACACACCAGTTCTCACCAACGGGTTTAAGTCAAGACTTTTTCAGCTCATCCCTGGCGAGCCCCAGCTTACCCCTGGCCTCCACAGGAAAATTTGCACTAAACTCTCTCCTCCAGCGACAGCTAATGCAGTCCTTCTACTCCAAGGCAATGCAGGAAGCAGGAAGCACAAGCATGATTTTTTCAACAGGTCCTTACAGCACAAACTCCATATCTTCCCAAAGTCCATTACAACAAAGTCCGGACGTAAATGGCATGGCCCCGTCTCCCAGCCAGTCAGAAAGTGCTGGGAGCATCTCTGAAGGCGAGGAGATAGACACGGCCGAAATTGCACGTCAGGTGAAAGAGCAGTTGATCAAGCACAATATTGGACAGCGGATATTTGGACATTATGTGTTGGGACTGTCGCAAGGGTCTGTGAGTGAGATACTAGCCCGGCCAAAGCCATGGAATAAACTGACTGTGAGAGGCAAGGAGCCATTTCATAAGATGAAGCAGTTCCTCTCGGACGAGCAGAACATCTTGGCTCTTCGCAGCATCCAGGGTAGACAAAGAGGTAAGCGCTCGCCGGCCGAGGGCCTTGCCCTGTTTTCCTGTTAGTTACAACTGGTACAAGCGGGAAGCGGCCCTGTACGGGGCCGTTCGTGCATTGCTGCTGCTTTCACCTGATTCAGATGTCAGGTGCAGAAAGTACGGCTTTCTAACTCTGCTTTTCGGCACTCAAGCAGGTTAGTATCTTTGCTTGTGCTTTTTTTAGCTGCTGACTTGTGTTTGTCAGCAGGAGCCAGCAGCAGGGACGCTTACATCCCTCACTTCCCAATAGCTCCGCCTCAGAGCGAAACACAGACTGAAAGGGTCAGTAGCTACTAAGGGTATCAGCCCTCAGAAGTGCTTGAGAATTTTTATTTGGGGTTGTTTACTGAGACCAGACTTTTGTTGTGTCTTGTGCGATATTTTTTCCCCCCCCCCCAGAGTGTTTTGACAAAATATCGTAGGTGATGCATGAGACGAGCAATTAAGAAACAATCCTAATTTCAAGCAGCTTTGCATATTTAAGGCAGTGATTTTAAGAAATGCATTAAAACGTGCATTTCATTGTGATTCATCATAAGCGAAGACTGAGATTTACATTGAGAGAAACTGAAAAGTAAGTTGTTTACAGTCAAGAAGTATTGGAAAGGACAGGCAGGATTTTCCTAGATCTTGTTTAATCGAAAGCACACACTGTTAGATTTATGTTCTGTTCTTCCTTTTGATGATCGTACTTGAGGGGATTATCTGCCCATCTTTAACCTCTTCATTTTTGGTATCTCTAGACATTTATTTATATCTGTCTAATCTCCTTTCCGAACGTAGCTGTAATCTTTATTAACAAATCAGCCAGCCTCGCTTCTTCCAAAGTAGCCAGCTCCTCCAGCGCTCAGACAAAGGCTCGCGGGGGCGAGGACAGCTCGAACCCTCGCGTTCAGAGACAGGCTGCTAGCTTCTCATGTCACACAGCCCGTGATGTCAGAGCGACCATCCCCTGATTGTTTTGTTCTTACCAAACTTGTTTTTCAACAGAGAATCCAGGCCAGAACCTGAACAGACTATTTCAGGAAGTACCGAAACGAAGAAATGGGTCTGAAGGTACGTCACAGGCAGGTGTTTTTCTTTGCAGTCGATATCTAGGAAGTGGAGTGTGCTTTAGCTGTGTGTTTCCTTAAAACTGTGCAGTTTGATTCTGGCCTGGAATCTGATAGAAAAACAGACAGTAAGTATAAAACAAACCATGGGTTAGATGAACACTTCGCTTTTTCTAATTCTGCTGCTGCTGTACTAACGTAACGCTGTTTGGATACTTTTTCCCCTCCCAACCTCACTGCGTACGCAGATAAAAAGAGAGAAGTGATAGAAGTGGCTTTATAAAATCATCAGATCTATTGAAATGCTCTCTTTGCTATTTTTGTGATTTTGGAGGGAGAAAGTTGCACGGTTAACGTATAATCCAACATCAGTCGCATACTGCTTCTGCTCTAGATTTACTTCTTTCTCCTCATGGGGCTTGCGTTGACAAATAACACTTTAATACGCCGTTAAATTAGTGTGATACTTAAGTCAGTATGGTGTATGAGAAGGATAACAAGACACGTGAACAGCAGGTCAGTAAATTATCACTGAACAGGAAGTACGAACATTTTCTTCATTATAGATTAGTTGCAGAATTTTGCTTTTAGCAAAACGAGAGGAAGAAGAAAAAACAAAACCCCAAAACTTTGTATTTCACTCCAGTCAGAAATTATCTAGCTCACTTACAAATTACAATCTCATAATGAAAAATGCAGCTAAGTGCAGTAGCATTCACAGTCATAGTTTTCCCTCCTTTTCTTCCTCTTAGTGGTTAAAAAAAAAACCCCAAAAACCAAACAACTAAGTAATAGCTCTTAGCTGGAGAGTACTTCAAATGGTATCTGCGTTTAAATGACTGTTTCTCTTAATGTATTAACTTCTAGAAGGTTAAAAATTATTTTTATCTAGTTACTTTTTAATTCTGTTTTGGGCTGAATGTATACTCATCCTACTTTGCCTAGCAGCTGATGCAATTTTTAAGATGATTCCTGATCCTTTGTTTTTAGCTTTCTTCCTTTCCCCTCTGGTTCTTTTCCCTTCTGTTTCCTCTCCCCCTCCGAAAAAAAAAAGAAAAAAAAAAAAAAAAAAAGGGAAAAAAATAGACCTACATATGTTATCCTAGAAAAGGAATATATGACCACCTAGTTCTTCCTCTGATGATGTCAGTGTTCTCATCGTTCCAGTGCAGCTAGCGGGCAGGCTTTTGCACAACGAGGATATTTTTCTTTTATTATGTTAAGTACGTTCTTGGTGTTGTAAATATTGGTAAAGGTCCTACGTAAACTGTCGTGTTGGCAATATCTCAGTATATACTGTCTGTCTTTGTGTTAAAAAACAACCAAACAAATAAAAGCTTTCCCAGTGTCATTAGTTACGTTTTCCTCTTCAGGTAATATAACCACAAGAATCCGAACCACAGAGACTGGCTCTGATGAAGCCATCAAATCCATTCTCGAACAAGCCAAAAGGGAGCTGCAAGTACAGAAAACAGGTACGGTCTCATTTTGTCTCTTGCTCCTTTTATTTCAGAATTTAATTAAAACAATTACCATGAGCTTTCTGGTCAGTTAATTATATTCTAAAAACCTGGAGTGTAGGTTTGAAAAGCTTTTTTTTTTTTTTTTTTTTTTTTTATAATTTAGTGGAGTTGTTTCTGTCCATAAGGCAGCCCAGGTTAAGGTTACATGTGTCACGGCTTGGCAGGGTCTCTGCTCAGCGATCTGCCCGCTCTGCGCTGCCCTGCTCCCAGGGTAGTAACGCTGTGAAATTTCTAAACACCGTTTTTTCCAAGAGCAGAGCTCTGCCTTCTCTACACCACTCCACCCCTGCAGGCAGTCACTCTGCGGGACGAACCTACAAAATCCTTTCTTCTACCAGTTTGCTCCTTGGAAGGGGAATGGCTCCTGCCTTCTCTTCTAACTCAGGCCCCAGGGACAAACTGCATGGGAGAGGGAACTGAATGGATTTGTCAGGGTGAAGGTCATGATCGAGCCAGCAATTACCAGTCACATAGTACCATCATACTGCCGACATCATGTACTGAAATTATAACATAGGCAAACTCAGTTCTAACTTTTACATAACTTTATTTTTGATTACAGAATGTATTCAGTGAATGAACTGGCAAATCCAAAAAGCATTTTCTTTCCCAAAAACATCATTAGTTTAAGATTTTAGCCTGAGATAAGTTTAATTTTTCATAGTATGCTGTTGCGTAGTTAACATTTCTGTCTGCTCCACAGCCCTCCTGACTTTAAAAGAGTTTCCAGTACTGCTGAAGGGCTAATGCTGAAGTAGAGAGTACTGTGCACTACTTCTGTGTTGTTTTTTCAAGTTAATACTGATTTAGAGTTTTGGATAGTTGTTCTTTAAATGAAAACTAAGCTAATCTCATGGCAAAGTATAAAAGACTAGTTAATACACAATTTAAATAACACAACTTTATACAAGTAATGATTACATAGAGGAAAATGTGGGCTGTGTGCAGGAAACTGCAAGCACAATGTTCAGTAGCATGTTTCATCTGAGAATCTCAGCCTTCCTTTCAAATATTAATTCACCCTCAAAACTCTCTATGAAAGCAGTAGATAAAACAGAAGAGATAGTCCCACTGTCTTTTTTCCTGTTTCTTAGCTTTTCATGTATTTTATATCATGTGACAGGAAAGAATGTAGGGAGGCAAATTCAGAAATCTATTCCGATGAGGCATAAAGTTACTAGAATAATATGTAGTGTGTTTCAAATCTTATTTCACTTTGAGGCCACTTCTTGCAGTGTATGGGTTCCCTGTTACTATCTAGTGCTTCACTTCCCCCATTCTTTGTAGAGTAGCTTTTAGAGGAACTGGTTTTCAAGCACTGGGGACCTCAGTGGAGACTAACTTAAATGGAAACAGATGCCCTTGCAAAAACCTTCTGGCTCTGCAGAGATAATCTACACCCACGTTCCAATCTCTGCTCATCCCTGACTGCTGCAGCACAGCCACACGCGTCCTCGTTCGCCACTGAAATACTGCATTTAGGTGTTCTCTCTTCTGAAGGTGCCCGTGGCTCCATGATAGGGCTTCGGCTAAGGCAGAGAGCGATGGCCAGGCATCAGCCTGATTTTTGTAGAGCTGTTTATTTCAGTGGTTGGGACCATGGAACAAGAAAACAGGGAGCAGGAGCATATTTAGCTTGTCAAATGAAATAATGAAGTCTCTTACTAAAGTTCTCGCTTTGTTGTAATTTCTGTGTTAAATTTTTGGAGTTAAAAGGACGCACCGTATTTATATTGTAAGAGGGTATTAATAGTCCGTCCAGGTGAATGCAGCTGTGTTCAGTTTTGAGTGCGTGTTACGATTCATTTGTGGAGATAGAGAGTAGTGGAAACTTAAGTAACTTTGTAAATAGAATTATAAAATGTTATGGAGTACTTGGGGTGGGGGGAGAAGGGGTAAAGGCTTGATTTTCAAAGGCATTTATTTAAAAATTTTTACAATGGTGGATAACAGGCAAGTAGTACTAGACTTCTGCAGCTGAGTCTGCGCGTGCAAATGTCCAGCACTTTGGCAGCTACAGTAATTTTCCAGGGAATAACTTTGGAAATCTTACCTTATTTTGAAAAGTGCAGAAAAGTTTTCACTTTGCTTAGTGAAAACTCCTCCCTCCCATCCAGAAATGTATTGCAGCCCTTTTTCCAACCGGGAAATATGTACAGTTAACACATGTTGAATATAAAGCCATATTCCTCTGTTGCATTTAGTCTTTTGGTTGTTTTTCATAGCTGAGCCGGCTCAGCCGCCTTCTGCATCTAGCAGTGGCAATTCTGATGATGCTATTCGATCCATTCTGCAACAAGCCCGACGCGAAATGGAGGCACAGCAGGCTGCCCTTGAACCTGCCTTAAAAACACCACCTTTATCTCAAGCTGACATTTCTATCCTCTCCCCCAAACTAGTATCTACACCTGCAATGTCTTCGGTTTCCAGCTATTCTCCTTTGGCCATATCCCTGAAGAAACATTCATCTGTCACTGATTCCAGTATCTCTGCATTGCAGAACCTCTCTGGGCTCAAAAAGGAGCCTCAGGAGGCACCTGTTTTAGAGCTTCATGGAATAAGTGATTCTGCCCAGGGTATGTTGAGGCATGTTAAAAATGAGTTGGGACGTGGTGGTGTTTGGAAGGACCATTGGTGGAATACTGTGCAGCATGAGAGAAGAAATACAGCTCTTCCTGAAGATATAAAAGTTGAGGAAGCCAGTGGTGGAAAAGAAAAGGTCAGCAATCAGACTAGGCCAGATCGTAGCCAGCTCCAAAGAGTGGCCAAACGCTGAATCTCCGTACTCCCAGAGTTCTGAATTGAGCATGACTGGGGCGAGTCGCAGTGAGACGCCACAAAATAGCCCTCTCCCTTCATCCCCTATCGTGTCTTTGTCAAAGCCATCCAAACCTTCAGTTCCTCCACTGACACCCGAGCAGTATGAGATTTATATGTACCAGGAAGTGGATACGATAGAGCTAACGCGGCAGGTCAAAGAAAAGCTAGCAAAGAATGGCATCTGCCAAAGGATCTTTGGGGAAAAGGTAAAGAACTGGTTATCTCTTGTTCCACCAGTATTGTGAATGTGCGTTGTGCTCCTTACGTCGGTACGGAGCTCAGTTTAACGGAGGGGGATATGCCACGTATGTCTTAAGGAAAAATGTTTTTGCTTCGTATTTTAAGTATTTTAAAAATAAGCTCACAAAGGGAAGTGTTAGTTTTCCTGCATTTTGTGAATTGCATAAGTTTCTGTGCAAAGATTGGCTTCAGCACTTGTAATTAGAAATGGGGCCCCCGAGTTTAGAAACATTGAAAGCTGAAGCAAATGTTATGGAGGCTCAGTATTTCATGCCTAATGTAATGAATTCATGGAATATTTGAGTAATACCATTGTCATGACTGGAGAGTCTTAAATTTGTTGTAAGTGAAGATTGTGGACACAAGAGCATTTTTTCCCTTTTTTTTTAATATTTGGAAATGCGCACAAGGGTATTTAAACAAACACACTGAAAATCCCCTACCTCTCCTTAGTCTTAAGTCAAGAATCCACAGACATTTCTTATACCTGGTGCTTGGTATCTTAGTGCGCTTTGAGACGTTTTTAAGCAATGTTTGATTACAGATACGCGATGTACGATAAGACTTGCTGAAGTTCTCACGTTGTGGGCCCTAAGCGTTCGACACGTGGGATTCTGGGGGGGTCCCCAACCACCAGAACACACTTCCCAGGCTATAAGAAGTGGTGGACATCTGGTGTTTCTTCTTTCTTTAAAGAATTGAATCAATGTAATAGTATAATAGGAGCTGGCACTGCGCTGTTACCTTTCACTAAGATGTGAAATGAAAAGCCTGACCTTTTGGGGTCATTAAAGATCCCGTGGCAGCTTTCATTAAGTATGATTTTTAACCCCGGTACCTGTGCTGAATTCCAGGCAAGTAATTGCGTTCTGCCTGTCTGAAATTCCCCCTTCGCAGCAGTCGGCTGTATTCTTAAATATTTGCTTACGTGGAGCAGCCGCTGCTACAGGTGAAAACACACATCGTTATAATTCATACCAAAAAAATCAACCAAATACAGGCCTAGTCTCAAAAGTCCCAATTATTTTTGTTTGAGAACAAAATACATGCCAATCATTTCCTGTTTTATCTGCCTGTGTGTGCCTGGACTTTGTGTTTTTTCCTGTTAGAACTGATGAAACCGTTTGACACAAAATATGAAAAGCATGCAAATCTCGCACCATCCTTCTGCCGTTTGTGCTGCCGCTCCGTTCCTGCAGGAAAAAACCCACGCTCCAGAAGGAACCCGTGGCGGGAGGAAAGCATTTCCATCCGTTACCTACAGATGTCATTTTGCAGTTTTACTAATGTCCGTATAAAACCGATTTGAGCAATATAGCAGTAAAGGAAACCAAAGTGACTTAAATTACCCCCCTTCCACATCAAATGTGTTAACGTGCCGTTCTTGGTTGCTTCACTTCAGGTATTGGGGCTGTCCCAAGGAAGTGTCAGTGACATGCTCTCCAGGCCAAAGCCATGGAGTAAATTGACCCAAAAAGGCCGAGAACCATTTATTCGTATGCAGCTCTGGTTGAATGGTGAGCTGGGACAGTGTGTCCTGCCTGCACAAGGGCAGCAACAAGGACAAGGTAATTAAAATTCCACTATGTCGTTTGAGTTGAGGAGGAGGAAATCTTTTATTTTTTTAAATTTGCAGTAAGCGAGACTTGCACCCGGTGCTAGCCCAGGCGTTACTGGAAGTGGCAGCGTCCGCCCTCGCAGCCCGGCCAGTCCCTAGGGGGATGCCCTGGGAATGTTTACGAACGAAGCGCTTGTTTATGCGTAATTGATAAGCAGCAGTTATCACGTTCCTAATTAGGGTGATATTATCGAGGCATGAATATGATACGTAATTCAAAAAATTTTGGCCAAAGAGCTGGAAAATCTTGTGCGCTGTTTTCTAGGGTTGCATAGGGGATTTTTATCGTTCCTAGGAGAATATCGATGGCTTTCGCAGGAGGTGAGCTAGAAGAACTAAGCTTTAAAGGGGGGATGCTGTTGCAATTATGCTTTTATTGTGGCTCTCTCTTACCCTAATACCTATTGATACAGAAAGGCCAGACTAGAGTTTGGCCTCGGTTGTTCCCTTATAATGCCACTGTCTTAAATGAGCGGCGTGCCCGTGCCGAGATGAGCGGTTTGCTATTTGTTGAGCCTACTTACTGTTTAGTTTGTGGTTTGGCATCTCCTTTTATTGTTCCCTGATTTTCCTCTCCTCTCTTATCTAGTCCTTCACTCTGTGACATCATTACAGGATTCCCTACAGCAGGGATGTGCAAGCTCAGGTAATCAGCTGGTTTCAATGATTTGCTCTGAAATAATTCTCTGTGCTTTTGTTACGTTTCTTTTGCTTTGATGCCGAGAGGTTTCTTGCGTTTTGTTGTATCATACAGGAGACCCTTCAATTTTTTTATTAACACAGTTAATTCCTCGTTCTCTCCTTGTTGCTATGGCAGATGTAGGGAGTACACGTATTTAGCTGCATATATTAGGTAAAGAGACTCTGTCTGATCTTAGAGATCATTGGCTCTGTAGGGCTTTTTTTACCGTAGTTCAGCTTATCAGCTTGACATGTGACAATGGCTGTAAAACAAGCCTTTCGTTTGTAATGTGAGCTACATACTCCAGCTGCCTCACTCGCTGGCATATTTTTTCCCCACTTCCATTTGCACAAAATCTGCTTTGTTAATTTGAAGGTGGGGAAAAGACCACGTTAGAGCTTTCTTTTTCAAAAGCTCCATCAAATATGCCAAGCTGACCTTTTTTTCTCCCCTTTCCGTTTGCAAAAAAGCAGATGCAGCAAAGACGAGTTGTCAGAGAGAAGTGAATTGCTAAAGGTTTTATACGATGGCCACAGTATAGGAAGGAGGCTGGAAGGGAACAGCTGTGTTCCTGCTGTTAGATACCAAACTCTACCCACACAGACTTTTTACCAGTGATAGCCTTAACTGACGTAAACCACTCGGGCTGTTTTGTACGCTAGAAAAATACTTGTGCCCTGCTCTGTACTTACAGCCAGTGCCCTGTATTGGAGAATTCTTGCAGTTCAGGATACGGAGGAGGGTGGGTTGTGCTCTTCTTCCACCTTTCTCCCATTCTGAAACACACTTCTTTTTTTCTGGAGCTTGCTGGGTTTGTTCTGAATATCCCAAGCAAACTACTTTTTTTCTCTACTGGGAAACTATTTTGCATTCTAAAAGATTTTACGAGAAGAAAATCCATGAAGATATTCAGTCCATGTTTTTCTTAAGAACAGTTGAAAATAAATAGATAAAAGCAAAAAAAAAAAAAAAAACCATGCCCCTGGTAAAAACAAGCCATGAAAACACAACTAAAATGGGAAAAATTATTTGCAATCATAGGGCTATTGTTACTTGTAGCCAAGCATTTAACGAACATGGAAACTTCCTGCGATGTTCATTAAAAGCGTGCCATTGACTACTTTTTTGTAGCATCGATACTATGCAAGACTAAATGTTACAGTTATAAACGCCTAAGACAGCATGGAAAATATGAGTAATTAATTGTAGCCATTTTAAGAGGAATTTGAAATCAGAGGAGCTGGGAAAAGGCTGCATTGTTATTGCTAATTATCATATTTATGACTAACTGTAATTATAAAAGATTGAAAGACAAGCCCGTAGTATTAAAATCCGACCACCTTACGGATTCCCGTGGGGCTCGCTGGTAGCTGAAAGTGATTTCCTTCAGGAAGTTCAGTTTTGCTGCTGTGATATTTTGCTCCCCTCCCACACTCCCAATCTCGTTTGTCAGTTCCTGCCCTTGAGCTAATACTTTGTGAGGCGACACGTTCCTATCAGCTAATAAAATCATATTATTGATGATTGCCCTCCTTTCCTTAAAGCAGACTTACAAATGAGAAAATGGGCTCGTGCCCTTTTCTTCCTCCTTTCCGATGATTAAAAATAAAATTGTTGTACAAGACGTTCCTTTCTTGGTGCCTTTCTCTGTATAAAGGAATAAGGAAGGTTGTGACACCACGCAGAGCAAAAAAGCAAAGCCACGTTATTTGAATGAGGAAGGGCAGTTTGGTAATTTTCTTTTATTAGCAGCTGTTCTGTAATTAAAAGCGCAGCAAACAGTTTGGAAAAGGTAATAATAATTACGCATTTGTGAAAGATCCTCCACTCCAGGGCAGGGGAAAAAAAAAAGATGGCTCCAATTTTCTGGTCTTCTGAGACATTTCCCAGGAAAATCAAGGCAGAAAAGGTTGCATACTTGTAATTTTAAAACAGAAATTAATCAGAACAATTTTGAAACGAGAAAAGGTCTGGAGCCTTTTCCATGTAATATAATTGGCTTGGAACTTACTGAATGCATGAAGGGGAAAGAAGTGAAATTAAACTAATACATTCAGTGGCTCCTGAGTGCTTTGCCAAGAAGGTCTTCAGTGTACAGAGTGTCAACATGCATAGTAACATCTCAAACTTTTATTAGCTGTGAGTATTTTCATTACCGTTTGGCACTGTTCTATCAAACTAGCAAGGTTTTCTGGATTTCTGACCCAGTTAGTTACACTTCTAGATCATAAGGTTTTGATTAACACCTCATTGATGAAAATCTGTTCTTTTGTCCAGTAGTTTTCCATTGTCACACGTGGACAGATGGACCCATCAGTCTTTTAAATGTAAGGATGAATGGATGAGCATTTGAGAGAGAGGTAGCAAAGAGGAGCCAGGCTTACTTTGCTTCTTTGCGAGCTGTATTTATGAATTTTCAAAAAACACAGTCTATACCAAAATTACAACCGGAGATAGCCATATGTATGTATCTGTATTTTTCTGGCTGTGACCTCTCATCAAGGCTTTGGTGATTTTGTGAAAGTTTCAATGAACATGTTTTACACAAAAATGGTGTCTGTACCCTAGGTGGTCAAAAATTGTATCACCGCGCCTTTTCTAACATTTTTTTCTGTGTATTTCTTTCCACTTAAGTGCTCTAATGCCCTTGGGTAAATCTGCCTTTTTAATGATTTATGTGTCAAAAGCACAGACCAAATCACACGGGAAAAAAAAGTTGAATTAGTGTCACCCAACTGCATCAGCATTTTTTGATGATGAATTTGGCCCTTATTTAGTTGCATTACTGATGATCAGAGCTGGGTTGGGTTTGGACGGTAGCCATGTGCCAGAAGAAGGTTTATGTGCTTCGATATTTTTCTAAAAACTTGTACTGTCTATAGCTCTTATTTGTCTTATTTTGGGGTCTTACGCCTTTACTGAGCATCTATATGACATTAAGTCAAAGTTTCTTTTTTCGTGCTGCTGGTTTCATAGCTACTCCTAGGAAAGCTGATTTTTTATTCACTTTTGTATTTATCCTCTGTGAAGGACATATACTCTCTATATACTACATTAAAGACTTGCAAATGCTCAGTGGGAAAAAGACGGGCCTTTTTGGTATGTGTTTCTGTAAGGGTCGTCTTATGACCTAATGTGGAAATCTTCATTTGCCGATACAGCTGCGGGTGATCTCAGGGGATTTTGAATTTCCCTTTTGTTTGTCTTCCTTTCTGGGTATCATCCATCATTCCTAACCTCATGCTGCTTAGCAATAGTAACACTCATGGGAGTTGAAGAAAGGATTATAGCAGCATAAAACGGGGAGCTAATTAGAGCTTGTTTCAAAATCAGAATCTAGCTTGAAATAATTGCATATTATCTGGCGATTTAAAAACCCAAGATCTACTGTATTTAGATCAACTAAAATATGCATAAAAGCTTTATTTTCAAAATAAAACATGTGTAACAACAGGGAGATTACTTCTTATCATCCCTTGGGAAAGAAATCTGAAAAAAATCGGAACGCAATCTATGGTTTACTGTAGTTATGTTAGTAACAGACACATTGCGGAATGATGACAAACCCAAGTATCCGTTACATTTTTATTTATGTAATGCGTATTCCTGTAATTTGAAATTAAATAATGAAAAAAAAAAAATTCTTCAGTGCAGAAGCAGCAGAGCAGGCAGGTGTGTGCTGGGTAGATCTTCCCGCTTGCCTGGTGACGGAAGGATGCTGTCGCACTGGCTACTCCGGGAGGAACGAAGTGGGGAGAGAGCATACTTCAGGCTTGCGGTCCGTATTCGGGTTCACCATCCTGATGCGCTCACTAGGCACGTGGTGGCAATGGAGAAGCTCTTACACCCCCGTCTCTCCATGGTTCATGATTATTTCTTCCATTGTTTTCGCTGTTTTGCTTTGGATGAGCGGAGCTCTCTGAGATGATGCTCCAGAGCACGATGGGGATTAGCACGTGTAGAGCTGAATCCTTAGTACCTTGAGATCACACAAGTGATCGGTCCAGCGATGCTGACAGATCTTCCCAAATTGTTTTTTGATCTTGAATCAAAAAGAAGGGAACGATTGTTTTGCAGTCATTTGTTGGCATTCCAAGTTAATAAAATTGTATGCCTTGAAATGTTTGTGGTTAATACAGTCTATAAAATGGAAGAGAAGGAAGATCACGTGGCTTTTAGTAGCTGAGTAGTTGGACTGCAAGAATTCCTTGCATAGGTGGTTTATGTTTGATGACCAATTTTTGAGTCTTTGCGTTTGGTTGAGAAGGTTGTCTCCTTTTGTGCTAGGTGCAAACGCATTTTTAAAGTTTGGAGCTGAACAACTGAGCCCAGCGGTTATCTTCGTGCTAACCCCGAAACGCACTGACGCGTATTGGTGAAGTTTCCACATTCTTTCGGCGTGGCTTGAGATCGCGGCTCTGAAGCAGTTGGCCGTGGCTGTCTTGATTTCAAACCATAGGATATCAGTTGGCTCCTCATAAGGGCAGCTGTTGTAGTCTGTCTGTAATGTGTGTGATCATATTCTGTGCCATTTCCCTGACATTTGGACCATGAAAACCTTCCTGGCAGCCTTTCTGGTATCAATAAAGCTGGGAGAATCGCTGTCAAGGCACCTTACTGGGACCTGGGAATGCAGCATGAAGTCAGTGTTTCGAGTTCGTTCTTAATGTAACGTTGGCTGTCGTTGTTAGCCATCATCTGGTCATTTCTGCCTCTTCCCTAGGTCTGTCCACCCCCAGCATGCTGTCTTGCATGGCCGTGTTCCTTTGTCCGTCAGCGATGCCTTGCAAATAGTTGGTATTTGTAGAGAAATTCCTGTCCTAGTTGTATTCTGTTCTGTCCATTGAACCACCCGGTGGTTAAACTTGCAGAAGATGACTCCGTCCTCATTGTGGTCATAGCTTTACTGTTATGAAAGTGCTAAAGTGAAATACATAATCAGAGAGTGAACACTATTTTCTAGG